TGCTCAGGTGATACTGAGGTCCCTTCAAGCGGATCCCTTGCTTATAGCAAGAATGGAAACCTGGTGATCTTTGGCAAGTAATTTGGGGATCATGGCTTTGGAAGAAGGGGGAGCTCTGCTTTGGTATCCACCAACTGATGGATTCTGCTGTTTCTGCCAGCTCAGCTGCTGCTCTCTCTCCACTCAGTGTCTGATATTTTCTCACTCTTAGAGAGAATTTTGGGGAAAAGTTTTGTACTGAGGCTTCCTGGAGGATGTTTGACCCACTGAAGGGGGTTGCCAAAAGGCCCCTTCCAGAGAGCAGGTCAGTTTTATTCTGAGCTTGTGTTGAAGTACACGAGCAACTTACTGCTGCAGGTAGGATCGGGGACTCCATGAGCTGAAGAGAGGCCAGGCGCAGGAGTGCTGAAGTTTGCTGATGAACAGGGCTTCGGGGCTCATCGGGCAACAGGGGGTGGCGAGACGGGAGAAGACCCTTCTGCACCTCCCGGCCCGCGGGTCTGCGGGCAGCACCCACGGGGCTGCTCCGCTTGCTGCCTGGAGCAGCCTCTGCAGGGCACCAGTGTCAGTAGCTCGTGTTGTTTGTCCTGAAGGTTGCCCCTTAAAAGGGGCGGGCTACAAATTCAAGTTCATTTAGGCTCCCAAATGTAGGGATTTGGTTTTTGAAAAACCCTTCTCAAGAAAATAACCTCTGCATGTTTATCCCCTGTTCTTTTTCCTTTGAGAGGTCACTAGTAGGTCAAATGCTGTAAATCTGCCTTAGCAAATGCTGCTTCTTCCTCATTGCCCAGCTCCTGCACCGTGCAGATCCATGAGATCTTGCAGTCCAGGAGGTCGGATTTTGCAGATGGGTCGATGCTGGATTTCCTTTCTCACCTCGGAAGGAAAGCCTCATCGCAGCTGCAGCTCCTGCAGGGCAGGCTGCTGTGCAATGACCACAGCTGCCCTGCCACCTCCATAGGAAGAATAATATTTCAGCTGACCAATGGTGCACATTTCAAATTTGTAATCTAAAATTTTACTTGCATGTAAATGGCATGGCTTCATAGTCTGATTTCTTTTCAGGAAAAAAAAAGGGAGGGAAAAGCATGGAGACTCACCTTAAAAACCACCCAGTCCTCTTTTTGGAGCGATTTGTAAAATTAAATAATAAATCCTATTCTGCCCCCTCCCAGCCCATGAGAAGCTTTTGATGCCTTCCTAAACTGCCCCTGCTCTTCTGCAATAGGAAATGGGAGAAAGTGGCTGTTTTTCACAAAATGTCCCCAGCTGCAATTCACGATCTGTGCCGCGAGATGGTGCGAGGAAGTCGCCGCGCGCGGCTGCAGTGCGCGAGGGCGAGACGGGGCCGCGGGCTGCAGGCCCCGCGCTGGGGCATGGCCGGGGGTGCGCGGGGCC